CACAAGTACTACTGCTTCTCTTCCGGTCTCCAAAGATATGTTTATATTTTGCAGGAGCATTGATTGGGTCAAGCCCCAAGGGTCACCACCCCCTGGGGGTTACCACTTTTCTTAGTTTCAGGGGGAAAACCTGGCTCAAACCACTACAGTACCCTTCAAATATCAAACCTGGATATAAAACTGTTATGTGATTATTGCTTACAAAAAAAGAGATGAAAGAGTCCTGTTGAGTTCCTGAGTGATCTGTTGCCCCAAAGAAACCACTCCTATTTGCATTTGATTGTATCTTTGCCACAAAGAAACAACCTATTTTTCTGTGTGCCAAGTCCATGTTTGATGTTGATCAATATCCATCTGCTGTCTGTCTTATCCATAGATTATCAATCCTTTTATCAGGTATTGGTATTTTAAATTTTTTAAAAATATTTTTGAATGTATGTTTCTACTGTGAGGATCCAGTTCATGACTGATGTTATCAGGCACTACTCTAATAATATAAATACTCCTAAGGTGAGCCAGAGATGTGGGGAAGTGGAGGCCCTAAATGTTCTCTGGGAGAGCTACCTTCTCTGGAATATACATTTTTACTTTCATCTTTTCTTCAAAGAAAAAGATCTATTTGTAATGTAAGTCAATTTTTACTATAGAGAAAATCTTGACTCCCATACCACCTGTATCTGCCCACAAAGTCCTGGGTAAGAGATTCCACTTGAACAACAGGGAACAAATGTTATTAAATGTGACATTAAATATTATTCCTTCCACTTCTGATAAGCCAAAATCATTTATGTTCCAGATGCATTCCCTTTCAAAAATTCCATCTGTTCCCGATACTCTGGATGTAAAAACCATTTTAGTGATGAAAACATAGCCCAAAATAAAAAACAAAATACAGAGTAAAAAAAAAAAAAAAAAATTGTTTGGCCTTAAAGAAACTGTCTCTTTTTTGAAAACCTCATACTGAGCTAACAAAAGCAAAAGTAACTGTTGATGTAATATTTATCACCCAAATCAGTAATGTTGCAATGATCAAAGAAAATATATTTACCAGTAGGGCACTGGGTATAGATGTTGTTAAAGTTTGAAAACAGGAACTGTAAAATATTGAATCCTGAATACAATTTTAATACATTAGACTCCTGACAACAACATTGTCCTGTAATAATTGTAGTAAAAAAGAAAATATTATCATAAGGACCAAAATAATTACTTCTGAAAGAATACACTTTTCTTAAAAATAAAAAATAAAAAAATATAGAAAAAAAAGGAGATAAGGCTTTACAATATTATTCTTTCATGAAAATTCAGTAATGTGTTATGACAAAACAACAAAAAAGGAATGTCTTTTCTTTGAACTTTTACTTTCTTTTTTATGCAATCAAAATGTATTAAACAACAGGGAACTCTTTCTGAAGGACATATTCAGTTTCTACATCGCCATAGTATATAAACCCTTGGTTTAGTTTTTTCTCTCCTTCAAACACCTTCTTCAGAAAGAGTAAGTGAACATTCACTTACAGCAGCATTTACATTGTCAGATATGAGGCCTTGATAGTAAAGAGAACTTGAAAAGTCAAGGGGAAATTGCAGGTTTGCCTCTATTTATCTTCTAATGTTTATCACAAAGATTTTTTTAAAAGATGACTTTACGGTGAGAGGGGGCAGATTTAGATTGGATATTAGGAAGAAATTCTTTACTGTGAGGGTGGTGAGCACTGGAACAGGTTTCCCCGAGAAAGCGTTGATGTCCCATGCCTGAAAGTGTTCAAGGTCAGGTTGGATAGGGCTCAGAATGGTCTGATCTAGTGGAAGGTGTCCCTACCCATGGCAGGAGTGTTGGAGCTAGATGGAGCAAGATTCTTTAAGGTGCCTTCCAACCCAAATCATTCCATAATTCTATGAATCTGCAATGAGTTTTCCAAACCTACAGTTCTGATTATTTTTTCAGCTAAATTGTTTATAAACTGAAAGCTACTACTAAGTGAAAGTAAGAGGCAGAAACTGTAGAGAAAAATGTAAACTTGCTCTGAATAATATTTATTGATTTGTTTTTTCCCCCACTAATAAGTAGATTTGTACAGAATTTTACTATTTTACTACCTTCGCCTCTACTTAAACCCAAACAATAAATTGCGAATTTATTCTCCTGTGAATAACTATTTTCCGACACTGCCTGCCTTTCCATTTTCACGTGATGCAGTCATTGTCCCTTTATCTTGACAGGGCTTTTAACTTCCTAAACATAGTGGGAGTTTCTTGTTTCAGCCTGCAATTTTCCATTGTTCTGTTTCTCAGTGTTTGGTCACTCTGTTGAATGAGTATTGAATTAATTTAATAGATATCAAGTAAATTTCTTTCACAGTACATTGCTGTGCTAAAATCACAACCTCACACAGAAAATTTGAGCGAAAACTTGATCCTGGAGGTCTAGGCTACAAACTGAAAATACTGAGGCAGTTGCAGGTCCCAGTTGTGAACAGATTGTACTTTCTGCAGTTCCAACAGGAATTACAGGTGCTTACTGATTGCAAAACTGAAAGACACAATGTCTCCTCTTCACACTTTCATTTACACAGGTTTCAGTCAGGTTAGGTGCTAGTTTAATGCTGCAAAGAACTCAACCTACATTTCTGGAGTTTTTGAATCAGAGAACAACCTATAATAATGACACGTCATTGTTTGTTTCCTAGTTCCACTAGGTCAATAATTTACTCTTGAAATTCATTAGCAGCAAACTGTGATCTAGTTTTACTAATACTGCCATTTATGCCAGAATAGCTGGAGGCAGGAATTTGGTCATACTTTGTCATATTCTCATTTCAGGTAAATGGTAAGTAAGGAAGGATCTTGTCAAACAAGGACATCAAGATATGTTGCGGATTTTTACAAAGACTTCTTGTTGCCTCTTGTTTCCTTGATAGAGTTAATTTCTTTAGTCACAAGTAAACCCAGAGTATACAAGTTTCAGCGAAATTTTCCAATAGTTCATTGATTCCATCATTACTGAGAAAATCATATGACTTCCATTCAAAATGCCATCACGTTCCACAGATTTGAGACAATTTCATCTCCTCTAGAACAGAAATTCAATTAATTTATCCTGATTTTACAGATTTTATATAACTTTCTCTTTTACCCTAATAATTGTATCTACATGGTGCACCTCTCTTTGGACAAATCAGAGCCTTGTTTTCAAGTTTTTGAAAGTACTACTGTGTCTTGGAATTTTTCTTAAGTCTCAATCCTTCTACTCTTTTACTCTGCCTTCTAGAAAACTCCAGAAATTAATGTATTCCAAGCACTGGTTGTACAAAGACTCATCTTCTTACACACTAAAATATATTTATTCTAATTTCAGTTGATTTCACAGCCATTGTTTTTTGGACAGAAAATCTGTCATCAACTTCATTCATTGTAATTACATGAAAAAACACTTATAGCCATAGTACCACAGACAAGTTATCTTTTTATATGTCTTTACAATACTCCCGAGGAGCAGAATCGTCTTTAGTTTATGAAGACACCACTCCTGAAAAGCAAAACACTCCCCCAGCATTACACAGGAAACCTGTGGTGCAGCACATATTTTACCCCTTAAAACCTATCTCACACTGTCTACTCATCACAGCAATCACGGTGTTTTTTCCACAATGCACAGTAGATGCTGCCTTGCCCAGCACCTACATGCTGTGATTGCTGTTTCATATGGCAGCATACTGTGGACCACTCCCACCACTGGCTTGACTAAAGGATGAAGGATACATTTTACCAAAGCAGAAGAAAGTGGCTATTTCAGCCTCACAGACAGAGCTCTGTTATGTTCAATCTCTATCACAGCAGTTAACCCAACCATTATATTGCTTTTTTTATCCAAGGAAAAAAATAAATATTCAGTGTCATGCTATAGACTGAACACAGAAGTTCAATGAATTGTTCAAAGGCAGAGTAAACAATTTGCTCTTCTAGCTCTTGCTGTTTTAAAAATAAAAGGTGTTTTCAGGTCTAACTTATATTTAATGTTATGTTAAACCTGACACTGCTTCTAAGTGTTAGCTTGCCAAAACCTTACAAACTTTTACAATAAACTAAAAGTGGAATTGAGACTTCACATATTTATTTGAAAATATACTTTATTTTGTATGATTTTCCATGGCTAGGCAGTAGCCATTTCAATAATCAAGACAGAATAACACTTGTTATTCTGTTATGCTCTCATTTCCTGTTATTCTGCAATGCTGCAAGTCTAATGAAGAGTCCTGATCATCCTTGAATTGTTTGGTTTCCATGTTCTCACATCATAACTCACAGCAGGTCTTCAAAAGCTTGTGGCCGGTGCTGGTTTTTCTATGGCTCCTGCTGTTGTTATTGTTCACTGGTACCACAGTTTTAGGGAGAAGCTACAGGAAAAGAAACCAAATGCAGACTTTGAATGGAGATATCCTGAAGTGTGATGCCTGATGTGTTACTGCTTCACATTGTCTGCAGTGACACCAGAGAAGAGCTCTCTGCATTTATTCAGGATGCAGGAACACAGTAATGGGTAGGTGTAATACTAAGTGCAGGCATACGGTTATGCAGCTTTTTCAAAAACACAGCCATAGTCATGAGGTTTGCTTTTTAACTACTTGCTTTGTCTTTTTATTACTTCTTTCTCTTACCATGACTAAAAGTTGGTTAGTCATCTGTAAAATTCGTTTTTATTTATGATATGAATTTTCAGTGCTTTGAGATAACTACCACAAGAGCATCCAGGCAAGTTCTGAGGTAATGTCTACTTACAGAGCCTCTTGTTTTTTCATATGGTTATTGACAGTTTCAATTTATTTATTTCTTCACCTATATCATGTTGAACAATTTAAATCCCACTTTTCAAATGCTTTTAGATGAAAGAACTGGCCGTCTAAGAAGGCTGAGAATCTGAAAATACAAGCACAGTCAGTAGCATTTAGCCAATGTCTGCAAAAGAGAAGCACAAGCCAATGAAGAAAGAATCTACTTACTGGACCGTTCCTTGAAAGGGATCTCAGTAACCTCTTTCTCGGCCAGCAAGCTCTGCCAATGCATGGAAAAGAGGTTTAAGAATGTATCATAATGCATATATACAAAGGGATAAGGACTCTTTCAATGACCTATGGTAGTGACAAATTATTTTATCCTCCTGCCCACGCACAAACTCAGCTTTGGCAGTCCCCACATTGAAGAATGTCATAAAAGCTTCAAGGTATTTCATGATGCACTCTTCACTGCTGAAGAAGCAGTGGCTTTTTGAAAACCATATTCCCCTTTGAATTCTTATATCCAAAAAGGAAGCATTTTATAAATCCCTGAGCAGGGACTAGAATAAGGTATTGAGCAAAAGAAAAAAATCTTCTAGGTTTCCATCTTCTAAAAATGCAATATAAGATTGAATATAACTTGCCACAAATCACTAATTTTAGTGATGCAATGTAAAATTTTGCAAATGAAACAACTTGAATTTCTTTTTTTTTTAGGGGAAATTTTATATTTAGACTGAATACATTCACTGTAAAAAATGCAAAAAGCATAAAAAAATTACTCAAGATTCTTTGTGTTTTGACAAGTCAAACTGGAAGCAAAATCATTTGGGATCAACTAAAAATGAATTTGGGTATTTTGGTGCATTTTCCATCTCTATTTCTAATAAAGACAAAGGACAGTCTTCAGCAATTTTTATGGTGTATAGGTATACCCTCAAGTCCTTCTCTCTCCTTTTTAAAATTTCTTTCTATTGTACTACATATCTTCCAGATTTATCCTTTTGCTGCTTTTTCTCTCTCCTCACATGCACTCTTTCTGATTGTGGTTGGGGTTTTTTCTGTGCAAATAGAAATTAAGCAATGTCTCAGTTCATCTTTTTTAAACTCCCTGTTGAATCAACTGGATATCAGGAAAAATAAGCCCACCACCTCATCCTTCTCCAAACACTGTATCTCTGCTGTGATACAATTAGATTATGTAACAGAGGTTGGTAAAAACAGTTAACACTGAAAAAGAAATTTCTGAATAAAAACAGACATAATAACATAGTGCTGACAAATCCTGATTGACAGAAAGAGACAGGCCTTCCCATTAAGATAAAACATGAAAGCTAATGAAGATGACAGTGGTAATAATACTGTAAAGCTCAGCTTCTGGCCCTTTGCATTTTAGAGATGATAAATTTTTGTGACTTCTTATATATATGTATATATTTATATATATAGGTCAGAGCTAAAACACTTAATCTAATTAGCTGCTTACCCTCAAAGGAACTCACTTAGCATTTGTGTTAAGGCTTTTTCACTCCATTTTCTCCTACTTTTTTGGAGTATCAGAAGATTCGAGGAAGAGGCAAGGGACAAGAAAGAGAGTTAACCCCTTAATGGTCTTTCAGCATCAAATCAGAATTTCCCACATGGCCTCAAAAGAAACCTAACAGAACAAATACTGAGAAACCCAAACCTAGGCTAGTGCAAAATGCTTTAAGTAGACACATATACATGTATGTAAACATATAGACAAATGAGCATCATGGCTCTGATCTGTTGTATGTTGACATTTCCTTGTCAACTATTGTCTTCTTGTACTCATATCTGCTCATGATTGGTAGAAATTGTTAGCTACTGGAAAAATGCTGTGTTTCCACATCTTAAATGAAATGTTTTGATTTGGGTTTTTGAGTTGAAGCAACAATTGGAGCTAATTTAAACAACCAAGTGACAAACCGGATGCCTTTTGCACTCAATTGACAAATTGCATTCTCACCTGCCCACATTTTATACACAGAATTATTTTTATCAAGGCATGGAAGCATTGTATTGTAATAAATAGTGTCTTCAGGCTGATTGTAGGCACATTGAGATCCAGTCCTGGTTCTATCCAAAGCAGAAACAAAACCTCATTCCTTTCTGCCTCAGTTTCTTCCTTCCTAGTAAAGAATGTGTTCCTGAGAGCACAGATTAACTCTCAGCATGTATTTGAATAACACCTATCACCAATATAGCTTGCTTTGGCTGACCTCCTATTTCCTAATATCCTCAGAATGTTCTGAACATTCTTGAATGTTCTGAATATCCTTGAATATTTGGGATCTCCAAAATACAGCTGTTGACAACTGGTGTCCAAATACTTATCCCATAAATCACAACATAAGCAAAGGGCTTGCCATAAATACACTTGTCTCTGCTTCCCTCCTTCTTCAACAAAAGATGAGTGGAGAAAAGGTTATCTTTCTAGTATGCTCAGAGTTCCAATAAATCGGGGTTGTGCAGTTCAAGCTGGGGTCTGAATTACAAACCTAAAAATGATCTTCCAACCACTGCAGTTTGTTAGTATTGATGAAGCAACAGCATTTCCTTGACCTTAGCTGACCCCTCATGCAATAGCAGCAGAACATCTCTCCTGCTGTGATACTTTGAATTGCACTTGCAGGACTCAAGCGAGGTAAAGTCTTCCATTTTCTCTATAGAGGATCTAAAGAATCAGAGAGATTAGTTTGAAACCTGTCTTGCAGAGTGGGATCTGGCATTCTGTATTAGTGCTTGGTAATTTACACCACCCAAGTTTTGCCCTCAGATTGTTTCTGAACATATTTTAAGCTTCGCCCCTCCTCTGACATATTTAACAGCATCTCTGAAGGTATCCAGGAAACAGCCTAAACGCCAAATTCATGAGCTCCTCTCTCCAGTGGTACCGTAGGTGCATCAATTAGAAGTTTATAAGGCAGTGCAACCATTCCATCCCTGGTACAGGAGGTGTGTTCTGGCCCTGATCCATCCAACATTGTGTGAAAAGGTCTGAGGGAACACATGGGGCAATACAGACTTTCAAAGAACTTTGCACACTTTTCATAAGCAAATCTTTACACATTTTTTTTATTCATAAGATTAAGTAAGTCTGAAGAAAACCAAGCCAGGAGCAGAACAACATTTTGGTTTCTGCATAAGGAAACATGACGACGACAAGACTGGAGATTTTTATCTCTTATCCTTCTGCATCCCAGAGTTTCTCACTGCTAGCTGCAATTCTTCTATGTAAAAGGTTATAAAGAATGTCTTAAAGAAACCCCATGATTAGGAAACTCTCTTGGCATATGGACCGCTAGATCCAAATCCCTCTCAATGTGAAGGACCTACATCATCTTCTTCCTAGTCAAGTGTCCAGGGACATTGACAGATGTGAGAGGCAAATGGCCCACTAGGTGTATGGATAATTTCAGCATACCCTGATGAGATATAAACAGAAAGATCACAGGACACTTTAAAGACTTTTTCAAGTGCTGGATGAAATTGAAGTGCACTTTAGGCCTGAGGAGTTTGGATGCTTTATTTAGGGCTGAAGAGACTGAATTCCAAGCAGATAATTTATTTGTCACTAAAGAATAAATGATATTTGAAGTGTTTTCTGAGACATAAATGTCACAGACTTTTCTCCAAAAGTAAAACAGGGCTCACATTTGCTTTAAAAGTGCGTCTAGAGTCTTCAGAGCTATAAGATCTTCATAGCTGGTACCAACCTGGAGATAAAACATGGTTCTCCAGACACTGAGAGGAGCTTGGACCTCTCATTGTATGACTACATGAAGACCTCCCAGATAGAGAGATACAGGATAGAGGCAAAGCAAGAGCAGGGAGCTTGTAAAATACTCATGGCACAGCAATATATGTCTGCATTAGGATATCTGAGGTACTGTCTTTGAGACAATGGACATGCTGTTAAATAATTCATTTATTTTCTCTAAATATTATAAGAGCTTATCACTCAGATCTCCATGTCAGTGTGGAAAGAAGTACTTGCCACTCACAAGGGCCTTCCAAGTCTAATCTACTCTCTCTTTTCATTTGACTAATATCAACTTAAATTAGAAAAAAAAACAAACCAACAAAAATCCAAAATAAAATGAAAATAAAAATAAAACCAGAAACAAACAAAAAACAAACAAACAAAAAACCCCAAATCAAACAAAAAAACCCCCACATTAATTACCACCTCCTTCTTATTGTAACATGAGTAACAAAACCTAAAGAACACATTTTGTCTCCCTCCCTTGTGGATATTTCAGGGTTGAATTGTCAGCAAATAATTGATAGCTACTGGCATGAGTAGAGCAACTGCTTCTAATCAGGAACTTGAAGTTCCTCCAGGACCTTGTGCTGGATTCCTGGCAATGAATTTGTTATTAAGTGACAAATCGGAACTAAAGGGAAAATGAGCATACAAAATGTTTTTGGAATTCACCTCATTCTACCCTCCATTGTCATCAAAATGTTACTTCATCTGTTCAGAATCATATACTTCTCATTTTGGGGAGCTGAACAATTGCAGTGTTAGCTCCCAAATTCAAAAGATTAAATGTATCAGAATCTTTCAGGGAGGGTTAACATCTTGACTATGTAACATAGTTCAACATGTTTCACGAGATTAATATGAATTTAATTGAACCAGCAGAAGATATGGCAGAAGAATAATGCACAGAATGGCACAGCTGTTAATTCTTCCTCTTCTATCCAATCGTCTGATCCAATTCTCACTCAAAAGGAGTCTTTCCAATTAGTTTAACAGAAGATGGATTGGACCCACAGGGTTGATCCAAATTGCAGTGAAGTGCCCAGGAAACCTTTGCTAATTTCTGTAAGCAGTAAATGAGCTCCTTATTTAGTATAAACAAAATTGATACTGAAATGGATTGAAGTGGTGGATGGGGTTTTGTTGGTCTTTGCAGAAAAATGAATTTTATTCTAGATTTCTTTTTCCAGATTGATCAGAGTTACGTGAAAACAAACATCATTATTCAGAGGTCAATGCATTTTGTAGCAAAGCCTAGCAAAGATTCCATCTTTGTCAGAGAGAAAATATATTTTCCAAGTTTGATAGAGCAAAATGTTCAAATAATTACACAGCCCGCTGGAAATATAAATGAAAAATTCTCAATTAAATTTCCTTTACATACCCATCAGTCTAAAATTATTAGTTATATTTTTTTTTGCCTCTCTATTTTTTACCTGGGATAACCTAGAATAATAATCCTTACCAGAAATATAAAAGAGAATGATGCCAGCTGGAAGGATGAGTGGATGGAAAGTTGGACTCTGATCTCATCTGTGACTTTGATTCATAAAACCTTGAGCAAGAATCGGTATGTTACAGACTTAGGTATCTACAGGTGTCTTCATAGGTTTATTTCCCTAGATTCTTTTTATAGGCAGTGGAAAGACAGAGGAATTTGTGGAGCATTGTTCATTTGAGATATTTTTTACTTTTACCTTAGAAAGAGCTGAGTCACATCTCCAAAGTGCCTAATTCTCTCTAATGACTATAAAGACTTTCTAGACAAGCAGCTTAGGTTTACATATCCATACCTGCATGCATAAATCCTACTCAGGATGGAGTCTTCCACCTTTTTTTTCTGTCTTATTCTTTCCTTTCCTCAAAAGCTCTGTTGTTCCAGACAAGAATATATTTAGCTGCAGAGAAACTTTGTCTTGTTGAACATTACAGAGACAATATTCATATACTCCATGCTTTGAAATGGCTGTGAAGGGAATTGCTGAGAGTGTTACATCTTTAGGCAAAGGACACTTGACAGATTTTCCAGTTGTGTTACTTGGATAGAGATATTGCTATATTTTAGGCTTTCTTCTAACCTTACTACGATCAGAAAATTATGTTGCTTTTCCTCAGAATTCAGTTATAATGGGGTTGTTCCTCTTTGCTCTATTGCCCTCCTGGAATTGTACATCTGAGCTGTGCCTCTAAATTATCTACAAGCTCTTGAGAACTAGGTAACTTTACAGGGTGAATGCATTTGCCCTTTTGCTCCCCTTTCTGGGGTGCTTCCATCACCTCAGCTTCTCTGCTGGTGGAAGGATACTGTGCTATTCAACTTCTCAGCTATCTCTGCCTCCATTGGCCTATACTTGCCTTTGCTCTCATAAGCCTTTATCAAAGTAGTTCCAGCAATCTCCCCAAATCACAAAAGTGCTAATTTATATGAAGAATACCTCATTAAAGATTAGGGTGTGCACCATACAAAGCCCCATATAGGAGCACGTAGCTCTTAAAGTATTCCTATTTTCTAGCTCTGGATGGTTGCAGCATGCTAAGTATCCTATACTCTGTCATCAAATGGTATAGTTCCTCCCTGTAACATTAAGATTTGCTCGTTTCCTTTCAGCAAAAGCAGCTAAATCCCTGGTCCCTGTTGCTTTTTAACATACTCATATTTACATTTTACAGCAAAAGTTTTCTTCATTGATCATTAAGGCTGAAACAGTGATACTGCCTACAAGTTAGAGGTGTCAACAATGTATTTTGCGCAAGTATCTGCTTGTGT